ACACAAGCATTGAAATTCAAGGATAGTCAAAAACCAAATTGCATCAAGAGTACAAAACAAAACATCAAAATTCTAACATACAAAAAAATAGTTACCATTTAGCGATGGAAGGCGGCATATCTTGAGAAGTGGTTCCCGTGATTGAAGCTTCAGGAGTTGTTGTAGGGGGATCATCGACTACGGCGGATGATGTGGCCGAAACATGAGCAAGTGGAGTTGTCTCTGTGATTTCCACAGCATGAGGGTCAACTGACTTGGGTAGGATTGGAGAACGAGCATCAATAGCATGGTTCCCCAGAAAAGCGGAATGTAGCTCACTCAAAATGGAGGCAATCAATTTGGCAGAATCAATGGCTATGTTCGTAGAAGGACTACATCAGTGGATTAGAGTGACATCGAGATGGCGGTTATTTCAACCCAAGCCTCATGCAGCTCATTAAGTCTGCTAGCTACCTTGTCTAAGTTCTTCTTAAAATTGACCTTTTTTGGCATAGCTCGGAGAGAGAGGGGTCAAACTTCCTAACACTTTCAAACAAGTCCGTCTGGAGGTTGGTGCGGTCGGACAAGCTTTGATGCAGTTGGAAAATGTGTACAGGAAGCTCCTTTAGTCTCTGTTGCATACATTCTATTTCAGCTCGAATGAACTGTTATTCCGCCCAGAGAGCTTTAACCTCCAGCTCCTCCTCTGAAAATTTCTAGCATTCTTTGGAAAAGATGGAGATATGCATATTTTTATGTCGTTCCAAAATGGAGAGCCGATCTAACTTTCATTGATTATCATCCCAGAGAGTGCAAAGGAGCGTAGATTTGCCTGCCACATCCCCCACTTGGCCCATTAGACCTTCCAGGATAAAAAGTTCTTCGGGTCATCAATTTTGAGCTTTTGGATCATGCAAAGCAAAGACATCTAGATAAACTCGAGGGTTTACAAATTAAATGGTAAACCTACTAAAAGGATGCCGATACCGGTTCTTAAGGCCAAACAACCTCTGGTGAAGGGGTAAAAATGACGGAAAAGTACTTGTCCATATCCGCCAACGTAATTGAGGCTGGCGGAACAGCGGCTGCAGATTTTGATTTGGATTCCAGGAATAGAGGAGGAGATGTTGCTCGAAAAGTTTTTGTAGTTGGTTTTTTTAAGGGCACTTGAGGAAGTAATGTGTGAGCATTTTTTGTAGATGACTCTGGGAGACGAAAAAATAATATGTTGTGATACTTGGCGAGGATGAGAGGCCTCTGCAGGCGCTTTAATGGCCATAGATGTACGAAAAACATCTGGAGTAACCAGCCATCTGGAGAAGCAGCGACCATCAGAGATGGAAGTGGAACTGGTAGTTGCCTTCTTGGGAGCTGCAAGTGCACAAGGAAAATAGTCCATTCATGCCGACAACAAAATTACATTAAAATCAAGAGGCGGGGTACTTGGAGTAGGATTTATGCCAGTCACTACGACGTCCTCATTATCTGAGGCAGGGTTATCTAATCTTCCGAGCGTTCATCTACTAACTTTACCAAATAAGTAATGGGATTTACCGGCAATAAGCAGACACCAATGTCTGCCCACCACTCCTCGAAGGATAGTGTGACAATAGGTTGAAGTTGGTGGGTGAAGTATGTCAGGGCCTTCATTTCTAGTACGTAAGACCACCACCTTGGCAAATCGATGGAACAGATATCAATGCGGACTTCGTCCAGTGGCGGAAGTGAATAACTAGTAGCAAGAACACCTTGGGTGACGCTAAACTACTGGGCCAAAAATTAGGGCTAATAGTGTTTATTGCAAAAAGAATTATAAGGTGAGGTGAAAGAGCAGTCAAGGTTCTAAAAAAACGTTAGAGTGGAGGCTTTGAGCTGGATTGCTACCCCTCAATCAGAGGAATCAAGAGGGACCGCATCCGCTCTCTGATAGAGGGTAGAAAAACTCATTTGGTATGAGATTGGCGTATAAAAAAGAATAGACAATGGGAATAGACAATGGAATGACAAATACCAATGGGCAGTGGGCTACAAAGAAGTAAATTCCCCAAAGAAGAAGCAGGGTAGACTTGGTTTGACTTGTGGGTTATGAACTTGATGGAATATAGTCTCACCCACAAGTCCAGAAACTATAAGAGGCTAACCACATGAGGATCTTTACCGGGGGACTTGGCCATCTTTCCTAGCAGATCTTTGATGCCCCGATAAAGAAAGCCTCGGAAATAAGAGGCCAAGTCCGTCTACTGCTCAGACATAATGGTGTATATAATTGGTTCAACTTCCCTAACTACCCCATTAGAGGCAAAACAAGCAAAATATCTATTAAACTAGAAGAATAGCAGGGCATTCTTCTCGGATGATTCAACCTCACCAGTCAACGTATTTTGAGTCATGAATTGGTTTGAAGTAGTTTTTTTTGTTATGTGGCTTAGGAAACTCGAGATGAGTAGACCTCTCAAAAATGATAAATGGAGATTCTAGGCCTTTTACAAAGAACCCTAGAATTACATCGACATCTAAGACTGTTGGATTCAAAATACCAAAGGGAAAAATAAATCCATTTAGCTAAAAATCTCAAAAGCATACCAAAGCTTTAATGAGTTTTCTATCTAGGGGAAACTCGTGGGAACATAAAGAAATCATGTCATGTATTACTAAATTCCGCCAACTATGGCCAAAATGGGCTCTAATCTATCTACCCAAGTACCAAAGCTAGTAGAATTACTGGGAATATGCGAAAATCTTGAAGGAAAACATCAATTTTCAACCAAATTTGGGTAAGCGGAAGGTTACCTACCATAAGAAAAAAGTCCTTATGGGTAGCAACGTTGGCATCATCCTTTGCCAACGGAAGAAGTCGTTGGCCGCCAGTAGGGAGAAGCCTCAAGAAAGGGGGTCGATTTTCCATCACTAAGAGCGGCGGATGACTGTACAAAGGTGGCGAAAAAATAGAAGGACATGAAGCAGAACCGCGGGATGGAGAGTTTCCGCCAGACGTTGATGATTTATTTGAAATTCATGAAAGTGTGGAAGAGAGAGAGAAAAATGAAGAAGAGTTTGAAGAGAGAAGCGACACGTTGATAACTTATAAGTAACCCTAAAAATGGGTGGTTATATGGCGAAATAGGGAGTTATGAGTAAAGACGTGTGGAAAGTGAGACGCCTTGTGAGTGAAGTGAAATGATGTTTTCCCACCTTGGGCATTGCGGTGGCAGTGTATCTTGTCGAGTCTTGTCTAAAAATACATTGAAATTAAGAATTAATTTTCATTCCAATTTTTTAAGAGGGGCAATATGTTGGGTCTAGGGAAAATTGTGAGGAAAAAAGGATTAATGAAGAACTTCAATGAAGTCGAGGGAAAAGAGTAAGAGAAAACTATAAAATGAGATGCACGTCGAAGAAGAAGAGATCCCCGACCAATCCAATTTCCAATTCTTTATAATTTTATTTTCAAGTAATTTATATTTCTCGAAATTTATCTTTCCGCACCTTTTATCCGTTTTCTTTATCATTTCTTTTGATTCCGCATGTATATCATTCCAACTTTTTTTATTAAAAATCATTTATAAGTCTTTCTCCTTTCATCCCAATCGGAGGATTTTCTACCAATTCCTATTTCCACAAATATGAAAAGATCACCAAGGGGCTTTCTGAAGTGCCCTAGAAACCCTTGTCAGTGCTCCGACCTATTTCATCAAGCCGTCAAGAGACTCGGCATATACGGATTCTGTATACAACATACTTATATCCTAATTTCATACCCTTTAAACACTATATTGGTTGTTAAGAAAAAAAAAACCCAATGAAATACTTGGTCCGCACAAATATAAGATCATTTGAGTCACATATTTGACAAATACATTTAGGTAGGGGTGAGCAAAATATTCGAAATTTAAAAATCTAATCCGAACCAAATCGAAATTTAAAATTTGATTCGGATTTTCGAATTAGTTCGGATTGAAAATTTCATAAATTTTGGATTTTCGGATCGGTTCGGATTGTTATACTAAAAATTCGAACTAATCCGAAATACGAAATATAATATTTTAATATGTCTTTTTATTATATATTTAATATTTTAATAGAAATAAAAACTTAAAAATTAGTAATTATATTTTAATATACTTATTTTTATTTATTATATATATTTAATATTATAAAACAATTATAAAGATATAAAATAAAATTTTAAATTATAAAAAAAATTAAAATTTTGGATTCTTTCGGATATTGTAGTTTGGTTTGGATTTCGAATTTTCTATTTGGTTCGAATTGGGTTTTTGAAAAAATTCAAATTTTTGGATCGGTTCGGATTTAGAAAAATTCAAACCGAAAATTCCAATGTTCACCCCTACATATATGGACGTTTGGTTGGATGAGTTTGCATTTAAAAATATATTTGAAATGAATGAATTTGAATTATACTAGATTTTAAATAATTCAAATCTAAATTTATTTTTTGGTTTTATTAGGATTTAGAAAGTAATTGGAATGACATGATATTAAAGGGTATTAGAATAATTAAGAGGGATGGATTTTAAATCTCAAATTGACTTAGCATATTTGAAATCATATGGTAGACCTAAATAAAAGTAATGGATTTGAAAAAGTGATTTGAAATTCTTTATATTAAATTCATGGAACAAACATGGCCTTAAATTTTTCAGATTGATTTCCTATCATAACTTTCGTAGATGTGATATATTGTTATGTATTTGTTAAATTATATTTTAGTAAAAATAACCCGACAGACAAATCACAAGGTGGCGGGATATTGAACTTATGACCTCATGGTCACACGTCCAATCCCCACGCCAGCAGGCTGTCCTTACGGGACAACTTTTTTATGTATATAAAAACTTGCATGAGGTGTCTATTTACAACCAAACATGAATTTTGGATAAAAATGATATTTTGTGCATATTTAAATTTAACATAAAAGAATTTTAAGCAATAATTAAAATACATAATAATTTATGCATTTTTTTCTTCAACACATGGGAGTACGATGCAATTTAGCCTGTATAACAATTTTTTTTATAAGGAATGTCTTATGCATTTTTTGGCTGCTGCAGGTGCCCTTCTTATCAGAGTGCTTAAACAGCTCAAAATGTTGATGAAGAAACCATGCATATAAGATGAGTGGAATTAAAAAATCTGATTCAGGATCATATATTCTACAGTGGTGTGGTGTCTTCCATTTTGTGTTTTTTCCTTGCAAAATTCTGTTATATACACCAAGTAAGCACACATCTATTTGGAATAATCTTGAATGAGCACATCCTCAGGTCGAACATACACCTTTTGTTTTGGAAGCAGCAGCTCAACTTTGAGGGACTCCACTTTAGGTGTTTGGTTGCGGTAACGAGCAAAGGGTGCTGGTGGTCGTCGCCTGTCCGGTTCACTCCTCCCGAACATGCCTGAGGAGGAGGAGGAAGGTACAGTGGGGCTCTGAGTCTGAGGCGATGCTGGAGGAGCTTCATCCGCTGGTTGATGGTTCATGGGATCATCCTGCAGTAAGTAAGACAGTTAATTAATTAAGCTAAGATGCCATGCAGTCTCTGAATATACACGACTATGATTAGGATTATGATTATGATTATGATTATGATATATTGGTTGTTAGAATAGCAATACTGCAATAGTAATTAGTAGGTGACCTGAGAGTTAGTAATTGGGTGTGAAGCTGTTGTTGTTGTTGATGTGTGAGAACCTACAAAATGCAGGAAATCCAAGATCTTAGTTGAACCAAGCTCAGTGCAATTGTTCCAGTAGTAGACTGTCAAGTTCCATGCTTTCTCTCTCAGCTCTATTAAGCTTCTATCTATGTCACTCTCATGCCTCGACATATATGGTTGCAGCAACTTTTCATATATGTATCCTGTTCCCTGCACTAGTCAGTGACACTCAGTCTATCAAATTAGATGAACAGTATGAAAAGAATGAATATGTCCAAATCCAATTCCAATTCCAATTCGTTACGTACCCTGGTCTCTGGAAACCACAAAAAAATGAAGAGTGCCAACTTCAACTCTCCATACATTGGCAACCTGCTACCACCAAGATTCAGTTCAACTACGTACAATAAGAGTGGGTCCAATCCCATCCAAACAACAGTAATAGATAAATGGGTTGGTTGGTGAGGAGGACAACCTACCAAGCAATGAACACGTCTCCAATTTTCTCAAGAACTGTTATAACTGCTACAACTATCCTGCATTAATTTGCATTTGCATATATATATATATATATATAAATAATGTCAACTGCTTGACCAGCTTTGCAAGTATCTTTCTCCAAATGAATGAGATAATGTAAAGTGGATGTATAAGTAAATGTATGAAATGAATTATTATTAGTATTAGTATTACCAATACTGACACCAAAATCTGAGCTCAGAAATGTCGACCCTGTTCTTATCAACGGTCTTGAAGCATTGAAAGGCCGGATATGCATATCCGAGAACAAGTCTGTGGATGAAGGAAAACATGAAAGAAGAAGAAGCATTGATTGAGTTGAGGGGATTGGGATTGGGATTGGGATTGGGATAGATCATGGAATAAATAGAATTGAATTTAACTAATTATAATTAACTCACAGTAAAGTGGTGGTGATGAATTCCTCAATCATTTTTCCACTTGGATCTTCCTCTCCTCTCCTCTGAGATTTTGAGTGTTTCTAAGTAAGGCAAGAATGCCAGCAAGGAAGCAAGATGTATATGATGATTTCTGAAACTACCAAGCCAACACAAAAGTGAGCGAGGGATGGGAGAAAAAAAAAGACAATCAAACAAGAATGAATGAATGTGTATGAAACACATTAATGAATTCATTAATTAATGTTGGATTGACATACCTCACCACCTCTGAATCTGGGAGCCAAAACTTGAAAGAAGGAAATGGAGGATATATGCACACATACAAACATGTATGTGTATGTATGTATGTGTTGGAGGAAGCTATGATTATGACTACGATGGGAATATGATGGACGTGTGTGTGTGTGTTTGAGAGAGAGAGAGAGAGAGAGAGAGAGAGTGCAATCAATCAATAATCGCAAATGATGGAGGGGGGGGGGGGATATCTTGAAGCGGACGCCTTCTATTCTATTCTTTGGCTTCACGGATTCCCTGTTTTGGTGTTCTTTCTTTTTCCAGGGGCGACTTGGTCTTTTCGCAGTCCAATGGGATGCCGCTTTCTGTCTGTCTTCGGATCGGAGCCGTTGAACATAAAAACGGCGTCATACGTAAGGAATGTATTGGCTTTGGACGTTAGGCCGACGACCTAACTGTTTCGTGTTTTGACATCGGCCAACATAATCCGTGCCATATTTCACTTTTCAGGCCGTCTTATTTTTTTTTAATAATAATAATTAAAAATATCTTTATGATATTGTTTGAACATAATTTTTTATAAACTTTTAAATATTTTATAGTAAAATAATTTAATTTTATATTAAAATATGAATAATTATTTATTAAAATAATATTATCTTCGTCCCATAACTGTTGACACCTTTTTCACTTTAGATTATATAGTTGATATATTTTTATTTTTAATAAAAATTTATTTCACTCAAAAAAAATTTATTTATATATCTCATTAATAAATAAACATTTTTATTTATATTTAAAGTTTTCCCATCTTTAAATTGGTTTATACTAATCACAAATGATATATTATTTTTATTTATTTGTATTATATAAAATTTTATTATCAAATTATATTCATATTCTATATATTTTATTAGGATATATAATGTTTGATATATTAAAACATATATTTTAAGTTTTTAAAATAATAGATATTAATTTTTATTTAAAAAAAATACCAACACCACTCATATAAAAAATAATAAATAATATCATAACCTACTATAATTAACTTACTAAACTTCATTAACGTTAAATATCATATCTTTAATCAAATGCGTCAACTGTTCAATAACGGAGGAAGTATAAATGTTCAATAACGAAGGAAGTATAGTATATAAAAAATATATTTTTTCAAAATCTTTCTATAATTCAATCTAGATTATTATTATTATTATTATTATTATTATTATTATTATTATTATTAAAACCAACCTTCAAAATCAGTTAAAATTTGGCCAAAGACCACCGCCCACCGGTCACCAAGGCTGGCCCCAAGTAAATTGTGGCAAAAAATGATCAGACTTTTGGTTGACAGAAGAGCTCGGTAGTTTCTGGATGTTTGTTAACTGAATAAGAACTACCATATAACCGACCTCCCACAATTCCATGATCAAAGATAAATAATTTTAAGTGACCAAATAGATGACTTTATATACGAAGTAACAACGACAGAATTCTTACATACACGCTCCTAGAGCCTTTGTTTTTTTTTACGTACCCCTATTCAGGCATCCGTTGTCATATTGCACCATGCCGTAATCGTTTCTACATCCTCGTCAATATTTCAATTATTACTTGCATGTTGATTATTTTCAATTAGCCTTACTATAAGGTTGCTTTGGGATGAAGTTTCACATTGAAGCAATCGTTTATTTGTATTGAAGATTGTAGTATTGGCCTGTAAGAATTGGGTATCATGATAAGGAACCTGAGATGATGCTCAAGAAGATATGAAATTCCATATATTTTGGTAGATAAGTGGGTCGTTGTGTTGCAGAAAGTATTACATTGGAGAAAAAGTTCGATTAAAACTCATATTATAATGGCTCAAGAAAGTTGATTTTTGAGTGGCCAAATTGTTGTATTTTGAGTACACGGTGTTTAGTGTTGTACGTATGAAATCTGATATTTGCTTCATATAACTCAACTAGTTCATGAATTCCATTTCCATCCACTCTAGTTTATTCTCCTCCGTCGGCAATTATTGAACTATCTAAAATATAAGGTGCAATTTTCATTACAAAAAATATTATAGTGATACAAAATATTATAAAATAAAATATAATCACTCTTAAACACAACAACAAACACGAATAAGAACATATATAAAATAGTTCAATAATCTTGTTGATCCACTAACATGACACTTAAAAAACTCTCACTATTTTAACATTGAGGCAACAAATGAATATCCAATAATTCAACAGCTTCCTAGAGACAATATGAATGACACATAATGTCGACCACCTTAGTCAAGGTAACCACATATGTGGCAAAACTATGATTAAAGTACTTTTCCAACATCACTAGAGCCTGCACTAGCTTATTTGCATCGCAATACGCAGAAATCAAAATGTTAAAAGTAACATCACTAAATTCTTTCATTTACCGTATCATGCTCCTAGCTCTATAAATCTGATCATTCTTACAAAGACCATATATAGTGTATTGTATCCCCACAATATTAACCTTGATTCCATGATTCTTCAACACTTCCAATAGCTTGAACCCATCACCTATTCTATTAGTTATGCAAAAACCTTTCATCAAAATCCCATAAGTATGATCATCACCCTTTACACCATTTAGCATCATGTTCTTCCTATAGAACTCTAAAGCAATGTCAATATCTTTCATTTCAAAGATATCCAAAATTGTATCTGACAGTTTCAAACAAGGATAACATTTCCTTAGCTTTTACACACCAAATCAAGAACTCAAATCATTTCGCTAATCATTCTAGCTCGGTACCAAACCAAGAACCCAAACCACTTTCCAAATCAAGAACCGTAACAATAAATCACACAGTAGCTTCATTTTCTACTCCACAAAAAATATTTCACATACTTTATTATTTTAATTTATACCCAAATCCTCACCTCAGTTTTGTCTTTAGGGTGTGTTTGTTTGAGGTTTGGATTTTGGGTTGAGATTTGAATAGTAAAAAAATTGAATTAGAATTATTGTATGATGTGATATAAATAAGTATAGCTATGATGTTTTGAATATAAAATTAATTTTTAGTATAATATAAAAAATTAAAAATAGGTATTTGATTTGATATTTTTAGAGAAATATTTTTATGTGAATAGTGAAAATATTCCAAAATCCTCCAAACCAACACACCCGTGAAAACCTACCTCGGCCTCAGAGAAGAACCAAATTTTTTATTTCAGCTTCGTACCTCAACTGAGCCTTTTTTGGAAAATCAAGTACCAAATTCATGATTTCAGCTTTATTTAAGGAGGCCACAACATGGAGAGGGGAGGTGAAAGATAGAAGAAATTGAGAGAATAGTAAAACTCCATCGAAGTTGCCTCGACTACATGAGGCGAGAACGAGGTTCAATTGATATTTATCCGTCAAGTTTACTCCCATTGCACCTATTATTCCTTACCAAGATCGAAAACTTTTTTAATCAATTACCAAACAAGAATTTAGCGAAAAATTAAAGCAACTTTTATTATTACAGAAGCAATCTACTCGGACTCAGTTTTACCCAAACATAAACCAAGACCCAAGCCACAAATGACTCACCACGGAATCGCAACTAACACACAAACCACAAACCCAACCTAAGGAAACACCAACAATTTCAAGCCTATTTACACCGCGAACAACATATACATCGCGAGACATAAAATGGCACAAATCGATTTATTCAAACCGTAGAACCATAAAGGTTCAAGTTGTGCATCGACAGGGAAGGACCACCTCCAAGCTCGCACAGATTCATCGGAGAACACAGGTGTGCGATCGATCGGAAGGGCACTGGACTCGCCTAGGGCTTGAGAGAACTGCGATGAGAGAATTTGTTCTGTTCTCGTCTGTTAAATTGAATCTGGTTCAGGGAGCAGCAATATATATAGAGATCAGACCAGCGGTTCAGACTAGACCGGTTCAAACCGGTCCAGACCAGTTCAAAGCCAGGCAACCTGTGATCTCACAAAGATCGGGTCGGACAGAGGGTTGCCAGGTCCGGGCTTCATTTGGCCAGGTCGGTTGTGTGCGTTTTAGGCCTCAATAAGCACCGGCCAAAATATACAACAAATTTCCACCTTATGTTGGGTGTGGAAGACTATTTTTCTCAGGTGTCATCATTGTCCGAATCATCATTTGTCTCCGGTCTTTTAACATGCGGACTTTTTAACACGATTAGTATTCACAAATTTTATCTACATACGAAAAACAACAACAATGCAGTCTTCTAAGAAGTTAAGAAAAATAGTGCATTTTTACTTTACAAAAACAATGATTAAATTACAGTTTTTACAGTTCCAAAATATTTCTAATCAAAAGTATGAATGTATACTATTTTCTTATCAAATTCAAATTTTGTAACAGATAAAACCTCTTTTCCCTTGTCCGCAAGGTTATTTTTGAAAAATATCTTTTCAAGTTTCATCAAACATTTAGACACAACATCATGAATTAAACGAAACATAATGTCTATATGTTTGAAACCCACAAAGTAACTTTTTCAAAAGACCATGACCCCTTTTATTTTCATTTATTTCCTTAACCAGTTCATTTCTACCTTTTGATCTTGTTGCCTTATTATAAGTTTTTTGTTCAATCCCACCTGCAGATTCAAACACACCAAAGGCAAGTAAAGTATTAGCAAAATCATCAAACATATGTGGTTTTCTAACTATCCTCTTATTTCTATCACTAATCAATTGATAATTCTTAACTTCTCGAGGGCTTCCTACATTTAATTCCGAACCTAAACAATCAGAATTTTCATGTAAATCATATTGCTCATGCAAAATTTCAGAATTTAAAACATTTTGGGACGGATTTTTAGAATTTCCAGACTTTAAATCTGGTGCTGACAGATTCTGAAATTTTTCATATTCGTGTGCCGAATTAGATTCAGATTCAGCGCTACTCGGAACATTTTTATTATGTTTCACCTCATTTGAGGTCTTATCTAACTCACTAGGCACATTATGTTTCAAACAAGGCATCTTGCGTTCATTAAACATCACATCCCGACTCAGAAAAGTTTTGAATCCCAATTTTTAAGTTAGCCACAACCTATACCCCTCAACTCTCTCGGGGTATCCTAAGAAAATGCATTCCAAGGTTCTAGGTTCCAATTTATCACTAGAAATATGAATAAA